GATAGAGCTTGAAGATATTATGATTAATTAAATAAGTTAATCACAAAAGAACAAATATTGTACAACCTCACTCATAAAGAAACAAGGATAGGCAATGTATAGTTTAGTAGTGGTTACCAGGGGTAGGAACTCCTGGTATGGTGATGTGGGTTAATGTGCTGGACTTCAAAGTTGGTTTGAACCACAAAGTCAGCAGTTCAAGCTCACCAGTCACTCCTTGGAACCCTATACAGGGTTACTATGGGTCAGAACTGACTAAACAGCACTTAACAAAACAACAACCAGGGGCAAAGGGAGGAGAAAGGGGGAGTTTATTGCTTATAAATGAATGAGTTTCAGTTTACAGTGATGGAAAAATCACATCCGTTAGGAATCGGATTGCACAACCAATTATTGCGATTGTTATCAGTAAGGTGCACACCTGTGAAAAGTTGAGTTCATTCACAAAAGTTCTGTAATAGAAATTCCCACAACATCAGAAACAATGAGTAGTGTCTGAGACTACTTATGTACAACCAAAATCCAAAAGCTCATGGGATTTGGTTCCTTAATTTGAAGGTTTAGGGTCTTGGTTTCATGGGACACGCCAGTTAGTAGGCCTAATAATGTGTTTAGTGCTTCCATTCCATGTCTGAGTTTGCTGAGTCCTACGAGTCTTAAAACCTTGCAAGTGGTCATCCAAGGTACAACAATTAGTCTCTATTTGGCTAGAGCCAGGAGCAGGAGGATATGGAATGTATGTCTATTTACCCCCACGGACAACTGCCAACTTTGCATGAGACCAGAAGGACTAGATGGTGCCTAGCTACCATTACTGAACCCTTTCATCAGAGATTCTATAGAACCATCCTGATCAAAGTGCAGGGAAAGGAATGCAGGACAGAATTTCAAATCCACATGGACTAGATATTGTGGAGGCTGGATGAGCCCCTGAAACTATTGCCCTGACATAATTTTTAAAACTTAAGCAAAAAGGTCCCTTAAAGATGCCTTAACCAAACAGTTTAGTTTAACTAGTAGAGGAATTTGTCCTCTTCAAGAAATCTTTCATGTGAAGCCTGTATGTGTAATAAGGATGGATGCTGTACAGGCATTTTACCAACACATTTTAGGGTAAGATTTATCTGAATGGGATCAAATGGACAACAGCAATTAAAAAGATTAGACAGAAACTTTAGGGAGCAGTGAGTTCATGTTAATAGGGGAATAACAACCCAGAAAAGGAAGGCAAGAATGGTTGCACACCTGGAAGAATGTAATTACTGTCACTGAATTGTACATGTGGAAACTGTTCAATATTCTCGACAATAAGAAAATTTATGACATAAAAAAAAGAAAAATGACGTGTTTCAAGCAGAGAATATGAGCATACAAGCAGTAAGGCATGGAAGCTATAATGAGTTACTGGGGGGACGTTGTGGATTTAGATATAGGTAGAACCCAATCCTGACTACCTGGAACTGGCCAGGTTTCCTTGTTATGTGACCTTAGAGCATTCTGTCTTTATCCTTCAGAGGTCATAATAAGGTAGCATAGTGGTTACGAATCAGGCTGCGAACCTTAAGGTCAGCAGTTCAAAACTACCAGCTGTTCCATGGGAGAAAGATGAGGCGTTCTGCTCCCATAAAGATTTACAGCCTTGGAAACCCTGT